CTCTCAGAATGGGGGGGTCAGGGCTACCAGCATTTCTCTCCCTGTTTCCCACATGAAGCATTTACCCCATGAGCCACATTAATGATGCAGGTAGAATCACTGCTGTGCCAGGTGTACCATGCACAGCTTCAGGAACTATTTCAGCTTTTGTTGAATGGGACATGGTACAAGCAGGTGGTCAAACACACACTGAACCAGAGCAAGGAAAGTGCCTGGGAGGGTACCAAGCTCAGTACTGGAGTTGTTCGAGGTAAATACCTGACCCAACTTGTTAAGAAAGGCCAAAAGTTCAAGATGCTATTTTCTCTCAGAGCACAGCTGCAGTGCCTTTGATTATTCTCTCCTTTTGAATCAGGCACAAGGGCAGCGTGAGCGGTACAGCAGTAAGTGATATGGGTTTGTCCAGCCTGGCCCTGATCCCAACCCTTCCTTACCCCACGGCCCAGTCAGATGCTCTGGTGTGGGCTGCGTGTTCCCCGTGGGTACAGCGGCTGTTTGCCCGTCTGGGGGGTGCAGGGGTGCCCCCTGCCCGAGCAGGGGCAGCGGGTGCAGGGGCGCGGGCGGACGCCGTACTTACAGCACGCAGAGCGCGTACGCCGAGGCGATGGACTCGCTGGCCCGCACAAGGAAGCTGCCATCCTTGCCTACTTTGGAGAGCAGGTCTTCAGCCTTGGAGCGAGTGATGTTGCCGTGGTACCAGCACTGATCCATCGCTGGAGCTGGAGGAAACCTGAATTCCAGTCCAGGAGCTGCCAGAGCTGCCTGTGTGTCTGTGTGTAACGATCAGCCAGCTTCAGCTCACCAGCTTCCTGTTTCAATAGTACAGAGAGGGAAAGGAAACTCAGCCACGGACAACTTCCTCAACTCAAACAGCTCAGAGAGTGAGCGTGACATGTTCCTGCAGCCCCCGCTCTCCTCTTCATGCCGCAGCTGAAGTGACTTGCAAGCCCATGCTCCCTGCCTTTCCCGCCCCCTTCGTGTCAGAAAGTCCCAGCTGGGCATCTCTTCTGCTCCCTCACAGATTCAGTCCCCCAGGCTTTGGTGGCCTGCTGTCCCATTTACGATCTCTTGTCAGACCCTGTGAGTTTTCATCTTTTTCCTGTCTGTCTGTCCTACCCGCTACAGGGCTCCAAGGGGAATAAATAAATCTCTGATCAGAAACACACTGTGCATTAGGATACCTAGCACTGACTGCCCCGTTCCTGCCTTGACTAGTCCTCATAAGCAGTTAGGTGTGAGGAGGGGACTTCAAAGAACTGAACAGAATAAAATTACAACTGCACGTTTCCATGCACAGCAGACTGAGAGGCTGATCTGCACTGGGGATTTGTGACCAAAGCTCCCTGTCAGCTACTGTGAGATGAATTCAAAGATCTTTCCTACTCTAAATCCCCAAAGGTGGGATGGAGCAAAGCTGTGTCTGGCAACCTGCGTCAGAGAGGGAAGAACTGGAGTTTTCACTTCCCTTTTCTTGCTGTGTACATCTGTCCCTCAGCTGTGCTGAGTGGCTGCTCAGTGCTGCATCTCCAAGGCACAGCACAGGGGACACGTTTGCAGCAAGCCAGGACATTGCTACAGGGGCACTGCCTGTGAGGGAAATTTGGTTGCTTTGCCTGTTCCTCCAACCACTCTGCCTTGGAAGGCAGCATTTCTGCACATCCACATTTGAGCTATACCTATAAGCAGCAGCTGAGCTCAGACTCTGACTTGCAAGTTCCCAGGTAAGGCATAGATCCTGCTAACCCTATGCAACCCTTGCTTTACAGAGCCAGGGGAAGTACTAGAACCACAGTACCTGGATCATGGACATAGCATGGACAGCAAGGCAGGAGAGAACAGCCTGTCACTGCATAGGGAGAGGCCAGAATTTGTGGGTATGGAGAGAGAGTGAACTGGCACAACCCAGCATTCATTCCTGCAGGCCTTCCTGGTGCTTTCAGTTCTCCAGACACCTGCCCTGCAGTGTCCAGCTTAACCTCTGCCTCTGAGATGAGGCTGTGGGCACCAGCAGCTCAGAGCTGTGGGCCAGAACAGCGCCCTGCTAAACCAGCAGAACTGCACCGTGCAGGGCTTCCTGACCACGCTCAGCAAGCACTGTCTGCAGACCAAAATTAGCTCAGCTGGACCCGACCTTCAGCTTCGCCCAGATCCACACAGGGCTCCAGGAGACAAACTGCCCTGGATTCAGGAGCCTAAATGCACTCAGATGCTGATTGCCATGAAGTGGCTGTGCACGGGCAGTGGCTGTAAGCTACCGAGGGGTTACAAACCCTGTTCTCCCCACTGGGAGGAGCGTCTGCACATGGCAAAGGAACTGTGCAGCTCCTCGAACAGCCCTGCCTGCCCACAGACCACTGCTAACCTCACCTGCACCAACTGCCTGGGATTTCTGGCACCTCCAGTAGCTTCTCTGGAGCACAGCTGCAGCAGGAGGCAGAACAGCTCTGAATGTTAAACCACTGCTTGGCCTCACAGTGCTCCCCAGGCAATGGACACATATCTGGATGCAGAGTGGACAGAGCTGCTGATCACCCCAGGAGTTTTGCTGGAATGAAACTGTGTTTGGAAAGCTTCTCCTGATCTGCAAGCTAAACAAGGTAGCAGGTACAGCTCCTGGTTAGACATTTAATTAGCTGTTAGACAGACTACTTAGGTGTATACTTAACTCCTATCCACCCCTCCACCAACTTCAGCTTTTAGCTGCTGTTATTTCCTTCAAATCCCTTGTCCAGCCACACACAACTCCTTTGCTTTGAGATGTAAACAAGGGGAAGGGATCCAAATACATGTGATGATTGTGGCAATTGGATGTGCAGGCTGGTTTCTGTGAGTATTTCTTAGTTCTAAAAGAAAGCACAATACAGCTCCAGCTGCTCAAAAGGTGAATCCCAATCCCCTAACATAAACAGCTTTGTGGTCCCTAATGGCTCGTTAGCTTGAAATAATACCCTATCTCTCAGACACTGCAATAAACTGGTTTTGCTACAGATGTAGTAGTATTGTACCAGCTGGCTGTCAACTCACCAGCCTGTCCAGAACCAGTAAAAAAATACTGTCTGTGGCATCATTCAAGATGTACAGTGGTCACACAACCCCCCACATATAGCCAGACTGTTCACTCTGCATCATCATGGGAACTGCCAGGCACGACCAGATAAAAACTTCTTAAATATGCATTTCCATGTCATGAAACAAAAGTATTCCATAGTACCTGATGAGGAGGTTAAATCTATAGGACAGCAGGTAGCTTTGCTGAAGTCTAAATATACCAGTACCTCATTAGGCATCAGTGACAGGCTACTGGCCACAAAGGTGCATTTAGGCTCTGGCCTACATCTGAAGAGCACATGAGTAATACCTGCAAAGTACTGGCTACCTGAGCCACTCTGCTACGCCAGCCCAGCATGTTACTGACCTGCTGCTCGGGAAAGGCTTGGCAAATTACAGGTTATCTGTGAAGGTCATGAGATCTCATTACTCTCTTGGTACCTGCAGCCTCCAGGTGCCCTGAAACAAATTCAGATAGTGAGAAAAATCAGGGCCCCTTCTCCCACCACCCCTGAAAGCTGCCAGCAGTAAAAGTACAGGGTAGGGCACTGAGCAAACAGAGACCTGCAGACCTGAGCAGTGACAGTGCCAAGGATCCTGTGGGATTTGCTAGTGTTTCTCAAAGGGGATGTGTTCTGAGAGCGCTCTGAAAAGCAGGTGTTGTCCTGCACCAACAGAGCAAACAAACATATTGTCCTTGCAGCCATTCCACACGTGCACACACATAGGATACAGCACCCAGCAAACAAGCACAGACTGGTTCATAAAGCACAATTTTGTCCAGAGGCATAGGTAACACTTTCCTAGCTCCACCTGCTCTGACATGTCTCCCTTGCTACCCATTCATTTCTGGTGGGTCCCTTGTCTGCTCTCTGTATAAAGACTCCTTTCAAACCACACCAGAGCCTCAGAAATAGTGTCTCTCTAACCAAAACTAGAACGGTTTCCTTCAGAAATCTGCTGAAAATCTGCCTATGTTGGAAAGCCTTCCCGTTTGAGTGTTCTCGTGCTGCTCTGGGCTTGGTCAGGTCCCCTCCCTCTGACACAGGTGCTTTTTTGCTGGAAGGGGGGCAACGTTATTTGTTTGACATACTGCCTCATATGCCAGTAATACTCTGTAATAAAAAGACATGGGGTTGCCAGCGACAGAAGCAGTAGCTGCGTGGATCATACTTGTGTTAGAAAGACCAGCAAGCATTTCCCCTCCTGACTCTAAATTGGGAGCTCCCTCTGCAGACCTGTCCTGATCCTGCAGTTCCAAGAGAGGCAAAATGCCATTTCGGCCACTTGTCCTGTCCCCAAACGTGGAAGGGTCCCGGTGTCCTCCATGACTCCTACTGCCACTGCCCAGGGAGAGGGAGCAGCACACAAGGCTCTGGTTTTCTTACAGAGAAACTGCAGCTTCTCAGTGCAGCGTAAGCAAAAGGGCGAGTAAGCAAGGACACAGCATGGGAAGTAAGGAGAAGGTTCAGTTTGACAGAAGCCCCTGGGGTGCCTGGGAACTCAGCAAGGCAACCCCAAACGAACTGCAGAACTGGGCAAGGAATATCCCCAGAGCAAGACATCACACAGCCTTGCTGAAATAAGGAGCCAGCAAGCCCTGAGTTAGAGGTGCCACATTCCTACACTGTCTGCGAGAAGCAGTACTCCTAAGCAGAGCCAAAGCAGTGTCCTGAAGAAGGTGACACCAGATATAGGGCAGTAATTCCAGTGCCCTCTCTAGAACTTTCTCCACAACTTACTAAATACCACTCAGCATAAAACTGCTGCCATCTGTTCCCAGGCAGTCCCTACACTGTCAGCAGTGTTATATTGATCCAGTCTATCGGAGACCTCAAGGCGAGAAGCCCCATACAAAGGTCACACTTGATTTGTGCACGGGATGTGTAAAAAGGCAGCCAAAGAGAAAGGCAAAAAGGGAGAACAGACAACAGAAAACAAGCCCAAACACATTAAGTTTAAGTACATTTAATAGACTTCATAATCTACAGACGCCGCAAGCCAACGCCAAACTAAGTGTGCAGCAGGAGTACAAAAAACCTTCTGCTCAAAGATGAGAAGTGACAGTGAAAAGTATCTGCAAAGGTGGTGTTGGAGGGATGCTGATGGAAAGGCTTGAGACTCAGAGCTCTGAGGGAAAGGCTTGCTTCAAGGTGAACATGACAAAGATCATCTCTTCGCATTGCCGGCGGGTCCCATATTCAAAGAGGCAGGAGAACAAGGGTGAGCCATCAGGTCCAACGCCCATGTACTGCAGATCCGAGTAAGCACACAGGCCCCTGAAGAGGATGCTAGGTTTTGTCCAGTGTGCTGGATTTAAAGGGCTTTTGTTGAGGTAAATTCCTAAATCTTTTCGACCCTTTGGGTCTGTAGGGTGAGCATAAAGTAACCAACTATCTTGGCACCTGGCATCACGGGGAGGTGGAAAGGCAGTAACACTTCCATGGCATCCAAAGGGAGGTTCCACTAGCATTTCAACCCGCTGGCCTCCCTCGAAGTCCAGCCCATGGTTGTAGCTGACGGCCTGGATTCGGGCTCCCCTGGTGCTCCTGGCGTTGCAGTACAGGACCTTCCTGCCACAGGTGTGCACCTCCGCTACCTGGCACTCCACCGCGCTCTCCTCGCCCACGAAGTTGCCCAGCTCCCACGTCGTGCCGTGGTCAGAGCTGATGAAGCAGAAGGCGTGAGGGGTGGGGTGCTGCTTAGGGTCCAAGATACGATAGGCATAGGCAGGAATCACCAGGCTCCGGGCCTCGTTGAGCAATTGTAATCCGTGACCCGGCCCCACTGCAAACGTGGCCCAGTTCTTGTACTCGGCCCTGATGGTGCCGTCGGTGACATCCTGGGCAGCGCTCCAGGTGCGCCCTTGGTCCATGCTGGTGACATAGCAGAGGCGTACCAGGTTAATCTTTGTCCTGAGCTGATGCTGCTCAGAGATCTTTCCCGGGACAGCTATGAAGAACAGGATCAGTTTCCCTGAGACCTCATCGTAAACCGGGCAGGGGTTCATGGATCGGTGGTCTTTCAGCTGTGCAGTGACAATGGTCTCCATGTTATTCCACTGCCAGGGCCCGCGTGAAGGGAGACAAGAACGAAACACACCGTTACAAACAGATCCAAGTTAGAGTGCAAGGATGCCTGGACAAAAGTTACAGAAAAGCATGGGAAGAACAGATGAGAAGGAGGTTAGTGGATAGAGCAAGAAATGGGAAAACAATAATCTGGTATCACCAAAGGTAAGTGAAAATTCTTTGGATGACACAAAGCACGTGCACGTCACCAAGCAAGTGGGTTATGTCCTTTTTAATTACTACTCCCTGAGGAGCTGACAGCTCCATACCTCAATGCAGCTGGTGACTGATGACACAGTCTGGAAAGCTACAGGAGCTGAATTTTCAGAAATTCTCACAAGTACATATTTGACACAGACATGCCCAGTGGTCAAAATGTGCTGGTACAGACACTGTGCCATGTCAATGCTTCTTAAGCGGTCACAGAGGTACTCGAGCCCTTTTCAAGTATCCTGGATGCTGACAAATTCCTTTCCATTCAGACTCCTATTCCTCCACTGTGATCCATGTGTGAATGGGCATCCCAGCCTACACTGAGGACCCTTGCTGGGCTGATTGCATGGCTTTACATGCTCTGGTATGGAGATTTGGGCCCTGAGCTGTCCAATTCAGAAAAGAGCAGGTATAACTGCCCTGCAAGCCCTGTCTTTCTTTAAATGAATAGCACCTAACACAATCACATTTCTAACACTAACATTGCTATTAGAAAATTATGCCTACATAGTGTTATTGGCTTTGTAAAAGAAGCAGTGGTTTCCAGTAAGATTATACTAATTCGCTTTTCTGCCCTGAGTTGCTGATTACCCTTTTTGATCATGTTTTCTCTTTGTCTATTCAGCCTATATTAACTTTTCTTGAATATTTAATATTTCCATTTTAAGAAAATCTAACGTGAACACAAATGACTAAGTTTATGACCAACTGAGCCCTACTTAACTGAATTACAGAGAGTTACACAAGATGCAACCTGAATGGTCTGATACTGCAGATGTGCTCAGAGGCTGCTTCTGCAAGGCAGAATCCAGCTCTTAGGAGTGTACAGTCAAAGACAACTAATGAAGGTTTGGGATACAAAAATATAATTACTTTTTTTCCCCCCAACACATTTATGCCTTTGCAAATGCAAACAAATTACTATAAATAGAATATCCACCACCCCCAGCCACCCAGCAGGATAACTGTTAATAATAACTGGTAGGTTAATAAAGTAGCCAATTCCCTGGCACCAACACACCAGACAACGCTCTTTTGCGTGGGGAGACTTGCTGTTCTCAATTGTTTTTTAAACCAGAAATTAGTATTAAGATGATGAATTAAAAACAAAAAAAATAGTAACTGATGGCTAATTTACTTCTCCCTGTCCTTATGCCACTCCCTATTTCTGCCTCTCCTCCACATCTTGGCTGCCACAACAGGACTTTTGTCTCCTCTCTCTGTCTGCATCCCCAACCCCAGTGATGGGTCCAAAGCCTCTCCCGGAGTATCTGCTGCACCTGCCCCCTGTTAGTCCCCCCACCAGCTGCCCAGTCACGGGGTTGAATCCCAGCAGTTTTAGCAACACGTGCATTATTTAGCAGCAGATTTGTCTCCTGTAACTGGGGAGGAGAAGCTGCCCTGTCCCTGCAGCAAGAGGGCAAATCCACTGAAGTGCTGTGGAGCCACGTGAGCAGCACAGGTGGGCAGTGCCCCCGCTCCCCCCGCACTGGTACCTGGACGTGGTGCGTGCTGGGGTCGTACACGCCCCTGCGCATCGCTATGAGCTTGGCGTGTTCATCCACCACGTCCTCCCGCTCCTCAGCAAACGCCAGGATCATGCTGAACCGGGGCAGGTAGAGCAGGGCTGGAATGCGATAGCTCCAGGTACCGTTCCGGAACAACGTCTCTTGCTCCAAGACAGGGAACGAAGCCATTGTGCTGGAGGGAAGACAAAGCACATTGCATTTTGTCCCAGCAAAATGTGATGGGGCACTGCTTTTTGTTCTCCTTGCTCAGTAGGGGCCTGTCCTGCATTGAAACAATTTCTGCTACTTTCAACTCTGTCTTTTTCTTCTGCTTTTCCAAAGAGAACCTGTGTGTAGCAGAGCAGCTGGAACTGAGGCCAGACTTACCCCAGGAGCATCCTGGTTGATATGGCTGGAGTGTTGCAAGGCAAGTGCACTAAATACAGTTAATAAAAAAGCTGTGCTTTGTTTTGTCTTTTTAATTAAATTCACAGGCCGAGACTTTTGTGGGTTTACTCTGTAATTCAGAAAACTGTTGATAATATTGTAGTACTTGCCCTCAGAAGAGCATTAACGTCTCTGGTGATGGTGTATCCAAAACCTGGCACAGAACTTCTGCTTTGCTAAATATGAGTTTAAAATTTCATATAAATGACACACTGAGGCAATCCCTGACCTCAGCTGTGCCCAGCTTGGGGGTGACAAGCACTGAGCACGAATAAAGAAAGGAAGAGAACTTCCCTCCTTCTGTAAGATTAAAGAATAGTCTGAATGGTGTCCCATAGCTTTGGGTGGCACTTCTGACCAGGTGAAAACCTTGTCCTCTTTACAGTGACTTAAAAGCAATGTTATGAAGGAAAGCAAACGTGAGGGAGAATTTAGGGAAGCTGCCTCTGTGTACCTGGTCTGTGCTATGCCCCAAACAGTTTCTGTTCCTCTCCCAAGACCCACTCAGCCCTCTGCCCTCTTGCACTGAGCTCCTCCTGTGAGCCAACCTATCCTGGCAAAAACCCGGTGGGCTTGAGGGAATTATCTCTGAGCAGATGGGGGCAAAAATAAGAGAAAAAAAAGAAAAAGAGAAAAGGAAAATACATGTCTCTGACATGATACACCAGAAACTGAAGGCTTGGATATCCCTTGCTCAGCAGGGAAGGGGAGAAGAAAAAAAAAGAAAAATAAATATTAAAAAAATCAAGCCTTAGATCTCTGACGCATCGAGTGGGTAGGATGGCAGGGAGAAGATGACAATACACTATGAGTAAGAAATTCAAATGCCTCCTACCTCAGCTGAGACAAGACTTGCTGCACTCTTCATTGAGGATTCTCCTATTTATCCAAGTCTTGGAAAGTGCTATAGTAGCTACTGGACATGGATCAGATCCTGGTGTTTTTGAAGGCTCCCTTGATAATTCAGGACCAGCTATGGAGGCAGCTGCAGAGTGCATGTACCTACCTGGAGAACAGTTTGCACTCTTCCATGTTTAAGAGGGAAGCCTGTATTAGCCAGTGTAACTAACATTGACTAGGTCCACAATTTGTTTTAATTGTTTTGTTTTTGCAGTGCTGATTCCTGAGTTAGGACAGCACAGATAGGCTGAGTTCATCCTCCTCAGACAGCGCCATCACATTACACTCTCTCCAGATCTAAAGCCAGACAGGGAGTGTTTCCTTGCTCTCGCCTTGCAGCTGCTATAAATACCAGTGAGATCTTTGAACTCACAGCGTTGCTCAGAAGGGTCTGAACTGCACTGTTTTAGCTAAAGGATCAGTACAGACTCCAGCCCCACAGCCCCACTGCCACTCGGATCCAAAGCCACTGCAGAGGGAAGTCCATCTCCCAGGAGCAGCTGCTCCCTCCTCACTGTCACCAACTGTCACCTCACCGCTGCTGTACAAAATGTTTCCAGAACTGGATCCCAGCTATCCAGGCAGTAACATGAAGGAAGCAGGAAGACCTTCCTAGAACAAATAGCTGTGCTGTTCACTACTTCCCAGCATGGCTGTGGCTATTTATACAGCCCACAGCCGTGGCTGTGTGCTCGTGGCTCCTGAAACAGAACTCACCAGCGTGCTTCCAGACTATTTAAAGGGAGATTATTTAAAGGGAATTAGTCAGCCTGTCTAGTGCAGCACAGGTTCCCTGGCGTTCCTGCTCATGGTACTGCAGTCTGCTGTTCTGATACTGCAGTCCTGCTTCAGGGCAGAGCAAGAGGGAAGGAAAAGAAACAAAAAAAAAAATATATAAAGGAGAGGTAGAAAGAGAGAGATCTGGGCTGCCCCATGAAGCCCTTGATGGAAATCCAGACCAGTGCCACAGGAGGCCGTGCTGCACCTGAGTCCCTCCCACGTGAGCCTGTCACCTGCAGACACCTCTGCCCACACTCTCAGCCCTCCATGACACAGTGTGAGTGTCAAAACACTCTTCCCCTTATTGCCAAACGGGGATTGAGGAACTCACTGAACTGGGAATAGCTGCCATAGAAACAAGCCTGAGGCTCCTGGACACAGCACCCGCAACTATAATCAAGGAAAATACTAGAACCAAGTGACTTTTCCATCTATCCAGAGACTAAAGAGAGGTATGTGTGAGTGTGTGCATATACACACATATACACACACACTTGTATATGTGCTCCCTACACACTCTTATGGCTGGATGCATGGATATACACGCTGTGTATCTATCTACAGAGAAACTCTTCCATCCTTTTTTAAACACAGTTAAAGTCAGTATTCTGCCTTCTGCCTCGTGGATCCTCAAGCAGAGATTGAGTCATAACAGTTTGAGTTTCACACAGAATCCAAAATGCAGGATCTTTAAATAAACTTAGAGTTCTTAATATTTATATATTAAAGAAAAAAATAGTGCTGGCTTTAGTTACTGCTCCAGCCAACTGAAAGAAACTGATTTTTCTCTTGACCTCTACCCATTTTCAAAGGCAAACCCAATAACTAGACCCTCCTGAATAAAAGAGAAGTAAAATTGGCAAATCATTGACAGGACAGTCACAGGAAAAGTGTTCCAAAGCTCATCCTCCAGGACTGCAGGAATACAAATCAGACACACCAGTCCCTCCAAGGCTAAATTGCCAGAGGATGCACATGTCCATGATGCTACTCTGCTCCTAAACCCTACTGAAATAGCACTACCTGGCCTGCAAGGAAGAAGAGAGTATTGCAGGCAGTATGACCCAAGGACACTGGAAAAGTTTGTAGATCACAGCAATATCTTTTGAAATACCAAGAGCTATAACTGGGGAAAAAAAAAAAGATGAACTTCTGGAACACAAAGGCCTGAAACACAAGTAGGAGACTGGAGAGCTGTACACAAGAAGACAAAAATTGCTCAGATCTGCATCAACTCAATGACCCTGGAGAGAAGAGTTAGCTGTACTTTTGTGAGGTAAAAGAGTGAGAAAGGTAAGTTTTTCCTAGGAGAAAATAACATAGCTCCTCACCTCTTCCCCGATGAGAGAGGTGCTGGTGAGGAGAAGGGAAATTTATCTTGTAGCCATTAAGCCAATATTCCCTTCGTCATTTTGGTATTTACTGGAGCGTTTAATTCATTTCCCAGGCTTATCCCTGCCAAGCTTCCTGTTCAGGGAGAATGATGTTTACCTGCAATTCCTCTCCAAGGCACAAGGGAAGCTGCTGCACCGAGATCCAGTCCCTCACCTCCGGGCAGGACCAGGCAGACAGGGAAGGATGAGCACAGTGCAAACACTAAGAGAAGGGGGAGTTAAACTGGAGGAAGCCATTACTCATAGTTTGAAGTTACACAGCTGTAATGATTTCCAAAGCAGAGACTGTTTCCAGCACACCAGAAGAGTAAAAAAAAAATAACAGTTGTCAACAAATGAATCTATGCTGGATGTAATGCCTGGAAGGAGCCCAAGTGGCAGTAAGGGATAGGTGCTGGCAGACACCAGGAGAGGGTACTTGTTCCTTCCTCATCTGTCCTTCAGGGCAGCTCACATGGACTTGTCTATGGAGCAGGATGAGCCCTTGCATGTTTATTTGCTTTACCCCTCTCCAAGTGACTAAAAATGATGACATTTCCACTGGCCTCAGCTTCTGTACAAACCTGTTCTTAACATGTTCAGATCCAAGCTGAAACGACAGCGTGTCTTTAAAAACAAACCAGCAGAGATGAGGTAATATGCTGAACTCTATCCCTTGGTCCCCATCAGAGAGCTCTACACTCTGTGCAGCAGGCAGCTTGTTCTTGAATGATTTCAGATAGGTCCCAAAAAACCAGACAACCCATTCAGGGAGGGCTTGGGGGGAAAAACACAAACAAAAAACCCAGGCAGAGCCAAATGCAAAACCCAACTAAAACTCTGCTTTGCAAGGTAAGTACAAGAATCCAAATTGAGTTGTTCTGTACTCAACATCAGACCTGGATTTACAGTGTTTTCCAAATGTGTAAAGCATTTCAACTATGCATTATGCTGAAACACATTCTCTGTTTCACTTAAAGGAAAATAAGGCATTTCCACTGGGATATTGCACAGAGGGCTCCCAGGAGTAGCCATGTTCCAGCTGTATGGGACTAAGAAACAGAAGACCCGGTTTGCTTTTCGAATCCTTGCTCCACAGGGTATTCCTGTGTGGAAGCCCTTCCTCCCTGCTGAACAGCCTGGCTGTGCCTGTTTCTGCCACAGCCCAGCACTGGAGTGCTCCATCCCCAGCCTGCCTGTGCCCTTAGACCAGATCCCACACTAAATCTAGGCTACAGAAATTCATAACAAGCAGGCAACACACATTTATTTAGTCCAATAAATCACCCTCAATGTAAAGTCAGAAAGACCTTATCAGTGAAACTGTCAAACAATAAACCTTAAACAAACTAAACCATTCAGGATTCAAAACTGAAAAAGACACAAAACTGGAATTACTTTAATCCAGCAGCCAACTGGATTAAACGTTTTAACCACACCAGAAACAGAAAGTTTCTCTTGTGGTAAAAACTTCATACCACATTTACATGGGGATTTTCAGGCTCCCCACTACATGGTTTCCTAAACAATCGACCAAGTTCTGTTTTCAAACTGCTGTGGCTCAGCCTGGCAGTAGCTCCTGTGCCCTAGAGTGGAGATTTTCTTAGCACTAGGGAGGAATTACATGAAGCAGTATTATTTTTCTTAAAATATGTTTCATGGAGGAATACACCAACTGCACTCCTACTTGAAC